AGAGTAGATCCAACAGCTGCCAAGTGAATCAGCAATGCCTGCAGGTTTTGTTCGGGTTTAGGGTTTAGGATTTGGGGTTTAGGGATTTAGGGTTGAGGGATCTAGGATTAGGAATTTCAGATTTAGGGTTTAGGGTTTAGTAATAGGGCCCTTAATACCAAACCCTAATGAGCAACCTCTTCGACAAAATGTGTGACCGTACTCCTCCACTGCGCAGTCTGAGAACAGCCTATTTAAAAAAGGCATGTTGATGACGCTAACCCCTCAGAAAGCCAGCCAGGACCGCCGGCGGAAGAAGGGCCTTCAACAGATTATCTTTCTGTGCTTAGCGGTCTTTGGGGTTTCGGGTCCCAGGGGTGTGGCGTTCTGTTCAGGTTTATGGGCTTAGGGAGTGGGCTTTTGGCAACTTCTTGAAGCGGGACTGCCCCGTGGCCGAAAACAACATCGCCGCCGAAGCTTGACATGAACTGTGATCGGGTCAAGAAACTCTTCGTACAGACAAAGCCAGGCCTGCAATTAGTCCGGTCCACAATGCGCTAGCGTCCCTGAACACATGGCTTCCTGTTTTAGGCACGAGATGACAGGACAAGAAAACCCAACAGCCGAGACCACGCAACAAAGCACCCTGCTGCCGGACCGCGTGTGTGTGTGTGTGTGGCTGTACATGTGATTACATGTGTATACATGTCTGTCGCACACTTCTTGTACCTACGCATCGATGAACGCAATCCCAGACGGATGTAGCTCGTCCCATGGCCCAACAAGGCTCTTGCTGAGCAGCCTGATGTAGCCCACGGTGGCTCAAGTTGCAACCAGCGTACATGGTGCGGGGGGGATACATGTAGAGGCCTTAATGATTAGAACAGGGTTTTGGGGTATATTAAACGATGATTATAATTAATAAGGAGCCCCCAAACTAGTATTGGCAACTATTGGGGCCCCCAAGGTACAATATAGTGCTTCATAGCACGAGTGGATACGGTTGATGATGTAAACCCTGCATTACCCATAACAGGGAATGTACAATAATTCCATAGTTTAGGGTTCTTAAGGTCATGCAGGATTTAAACCAGCACCCCCCAAGTGCCCTTTAATAGAGCCCTGATGGTCCTTAATAGTGGGTATTTAGGGCAGATTAGGGGGTAGTTGGGGGGCCCTAAACCCTAAACCCTAAACCCCTAAACCCTTAATTAACCCCTCAACCCTTAACCCTAAACCCCTAAACCCCTAAACCCCTAAACCCCTAACCCCTAAACCCCTAAACCCCAAGCCCGTAACCCTAAACCTTAATCATAAAACCGATTTGGCCGTGAGGAGGCGGCTG